GACTTTGGTACCCAGACAAACATGGGTCCTACTTTGTTAGTATTAGACTGAGGGATGTTGTAACTGTCATACCATCTATTCCTATCAAATAATATTTTTTAGCACTCTTAACATGTAGATCAGATTTGCAGTAAGAACCATACCAATCATTATCATACCTGTTATATGAATTCCAACTGTTCTCATAGTCGTTGTTCCCATACCATCTGTTGAACTTTTTCTTGTTGACAAAGTCATTTGTTCTGCATGTTGAGCATCGAATTCTTCTCTTGCTAAGACTGATCAATTAATTAGTAGACTTTACAGTGCAAGGAAGAATAGTCTTAGATACAACAGATTTATGTGACACAATAGAATCAGCTTTATTAATCCAAACTTGTTTTATATTTGAAAATTATTGATTGATCCAATGACATACCCTTGATAAAAACTTATTAGAAATATGAGACTTGTTCTTAGAAACAATTGATTTAGAACTGCTTGAATAACTATTGGATTTGTCACTCGAACAGTTATAAAAGCAAGTTTTACACTGAGATTAAGAACCAGTTGAGCTTTCAGCACTTGAATTAGAACAATCTTTTACTTTCTTAAGTAACTAGTCTCTCTCATCAGCAACTAAATCATATTTCTTCTTAAGTTCAAATCTCAGATTCAATTTAGCAACATGTTCTGTCTTTAAATCAGACAATTTCTTTGAAGTATCCAAGAACTTACCTTCCAATTCTTTCTTCATCTTCTCAAAACTTTTCCTGTCTTTCTCAAATTCTTTCTTCTCTTGTTCTGAACTTCCCTTCTCATTCTCTGAAGCAATGTCAAGCGATTCTTCTTTTCAGTTAGCTCCTTAACAATTGCAACATTCTTCTTAGCAGTATTTTTCTTTTCTAGAGCAAAAACTCTCTTATCTTCATTTAGAGTTTTATGCTTTTATGCAATGTTGTCAAACATTTCCAAATGCTTGCTTTGACATTGTTTTTTATACTCCTTCTTCTCTTTATCAAACTTGGATCGTTCGAAGATGATAACTTGTTCAAAATCTGAGATTTGTTTTGAAAGCAATATAGCATTCAGCTCTAAAGCTTTTATCTTGCTTTCAAACACTTTCCTTTCAGCTTCAAACTTTTTCTCAATCTCTATCAATTTATCATTCTTATTTCCTTGAAAATTCCTTTCAGCATTCAGTTCATTCTCAGCTTTATTGACTTTCTTTCTCAGCTCATACTTCTCTTTGATCTGCTTTATTCTTTCTTCCTCTGGCTCTTTCTTTCAAATTCTAAAGTCTTTTCAAGTTCATAAAATTCTAGATCTCAGCCTGGAATTGTCTTTTAACAGATCAAAGTATCTCTTTTGACTTGCACTGAAATATTTATCTTTTCCAAGAAGTACATCAATCTCAACTTGAATAAACTTCTTTTCTTTTTCAAATTTCTTTATCTTTTGTTTCAACTCTTTAGCCCAAACAAAATTACCATGATTTTCATAAAACACCTTCACATATTTTTCTTTTTGTTCCTTCAGACTTATCTCTAATTCAAAAACTTTCTCTAATTCAAAAACTCTCTTTAAAATCCTTATTTTCTCTCTCAAAAATTGATGTCATTTAAAATCGAGATTGATCAAACAAAAAATCTTTGAAGTTCAAGAAATTGATCAAAGAAATAATATCCAAAAATAATACCACAAAATTCACACACAAAATTCTTTAAAAAAATTCCAACACTTAGACAAATTTTCTAAAACATCAAATTTTATCCGAATAAGAAGTTCGGACAACAAATACAGACAATATGGTCAAAACACAAACTGGTCAACTAGATTGAATCTGGTCACTATAGAAATGAAGTTGTCTGAGGATCAAATACGGACAAAAGGACATGACCAAATCCGGACAAGGTGACTGTCGGTGAACGCTTAGTACGAACAAGAAGTCAAATACACTTGGTCACTTTGAAACACTACAAGTGCGGTCAAAGAGATTTCCGATTAACAGGAAATTCGGACAGACTATCTACCGGTTTATAGAAAATCCGGACAAGGTTACAGCCAAAACTGGACAGGGAAGTGATCGATATACAATAAGTCCGCACAAAGAGACACCCGATCAAGGAGGCTTCCGAATTCACTCAGACTACAAAACACAAGTCACAAATCCGGTCAAGCCAATAATCAGATTATGTTAAAACCGGACAAAGAGGCAACCGATTTACATGAAATTCGGACAGAGGCTAGCAATATGTATGCTAAATCGGACAGGGGGACTACAGATTTCTGACAAACCTCAATCACTAAATCGGACAAGATGATATCCGATAAACAACAGATTCCGGTCAAGGAGGTGTCCGATTAACGGGACATCCGGACAAGGAGATAACTGAATGTTTGAGAAATCCGGTCAAAATGTTTACGTATTAGTGCAAATCAGATTACCAATTCTTCAATCACAAACACCAAATTTCATGAAACTACAACCAAAAATGGATCAAAATACCAAAATTTTATGAATTTTATCAAGAACAAAACATTTTTCAAATCCCAAAAATTCTTTCAAATCTCTAAAAACAATGATCAAATCACAAAATTATATGAATAAGAAAGATTCAGATCATCAATTCGCACATAGTAATCCAAACTTTAGCTTCTAAATCACAAAAATGAATGAGAATTGAGAAGGAATGTAATGAAACAGTCGAAGAACTCAAGAACACTATGAATATTCTCAAGAACAGTCGATGGAATTCCATAAATTTGTGCAGAAAAATCTCGAATCTTGTGCAATTTCTTCAACCAATAACGTTGCAGATTGCTTTGATACCAATTGAAAGTATCAATATTCAATCAATCTTCATGCAATCTTCAATAACACATAAAATGGCAATATCAAGATTAAGAATCTTGAGAGAAAAAGTCAACAAGTCAAACTATGTATATATTCTTCAAAGCTCAATTATAAATGCTAATCTCAATTAAGCTCTCTACTACTTAAGCATCCTATTTATAGGTCAAACCAAATACAAAGGTCAAACCAAATACAAAATTATAAAGAATGAATAAAACATATTAAGTTTTAAAATTCAAACCTAACAACCCTCCAAAATAAAAATAATTAATCAAACTCTTATAATTATAAAAAATAAACAAAATATAAAATTATAATTGATTGAATGATGTTTATATGATTTATACAAATAATATGGTTTGCAAAGTAAATCAACTTTATGTATATATTACATATTTATATATATATATATAATATATATATATATATGTGTGTGTGTCAGTAGTTCACGTGATATCCTCGTGCAAGAACCATTTTGCTTTGCTTGCACTGTTCCAATTGGTGGTGAGGAGACTTCAAAATCACCACTCTTCGCCTCCAGATCCTTAGGTCCACGAGACTTCCGGTGCACCCCTGCCACACTGCTGACATTTGGGTAATCACAGCGGATTTATATAGTAGAAGGTGCATGCCATGCATATAAACAACTCCATTCTTGTCAAAGACCTTTCAGTCTAGTGGTAAAGGCTTAGGCATGACATAGTCATGAACTCGAGTTCGAGTTCTAGGAGGAGAGTGTTGGCGACATTTAAGTGGGGCCATGTTTAACCTCCAAATTTGCCGGGGATTAGTCGGGCTTTGGCCCGGACACCCTTACCAAAAAAAAAAAAAAACAATTCCACTCTTTTAATTATGACGCAAAACGAATTATAAAATAAAATATTATTATTTTTATTCACTAAGATTATTAAAAATTAAATATTCTTTTTAGTATATTTGGAAAAACATATATTTGCAAATAATGAGAAGATCGATAGATACATGTTTTATATATTTGTTTAATGATGTGTGTTATTATACAACCTTTTACATTTGTACAATCAATACAACTCAATCTTAACCGTCCATTTTATTTAATGAATATGTAATTTATAGAAGTTTTGATTATTTTCTAATATAAAATATTAATCATAATCAATGAATCGTAATCATCTTTCATAAATATTTAAATCATAATAAATGAACTCTCATCATTTTCATAAATATTTCAATTTATTGAGTTGTATTTGTTGTACAAATACGATAAGTTGTATTTAAAACAAACTCTTATTTAATATTACAATTGGAAAGAGCAAATAGAGTTGTTTCTGGTTACAAGAATAAAATGGACACTCATGTATCCAAGTTTCAAAAATTGTACCAAAATGGTTATGTGTTTTTTCAACCTTTGACCTTGAAAATCATGGACATGACAACCCCATACCCCTCTCCAGATGGTCCCAATTCTACCATGTCTTCTACAGAACCATTATTTATACACCAAAATACACGTTTTCTAAGTGCTGTGTTCTCAACACCTAATTCTTAAAGATTAAGCTACATAATACTAGTTACCGCAACAATTAAACGAGCTTTACTACAGTTTTAACCTAAATGGATCGTAACAAAATCAGCTTCGTTACAACAATAGATGGTAGTTTATGAAAAAACTGAACCAAAAAGACGTTTTATATTCTTTTCGAGTCCTATTCTCTTGCTCAATTTCGTTTTAACAACATATTGTTTCACAAGAGATAAAACCCGTCATAACAAGTTGTTGTAATGCATATTCACATTGTTGGTATGTTTCTCTTTCACACACAAATACATAGTAGATCTTTAAGTCTTGACAACAGAGAGGCATGGTAGGGTAGTGAGGAAGACAATATAGTTTCATGATAAATGAGAAACAAACACTGAATATTTGAATAGCTTGAGCTATTATCTGGGTTCCTTTTCTCTAATTTGAATAATTGAGTTCCCATCATTTTCATCATAAAAGAGTGGCCGTTTCAGACTTATATTAGAATTAAACATGTGTGGCACTATTTTAATTTATCATATTTCATCCCAACTTCTTCTTAATGAATCAGACACATCAAGAGTAAAAGCCTTCTAATACTATAATTTCACATAAGTATGGATTGGTTTTCAATGAACACAACCTGGATTGATGTCAGTTTAGTGAGAGAAGGGAGTGATTATTTTATAAGGATAGTACAACTTGCATGGATTCCAAATCCTAAGATTTCATGTCTCTATGATTTTTCTTAATGTTAAAAAAGGAAAGAAAAAACCAACCCTCTTGTTCCATTTTATACCCAGAAATAATTCTCTTTTCATCTAGGCACCTAAATAGTTCTGAACATTTTGTGCCGATTGCTGATAACCTTTCGCTGATGTTCCCATGGAAATGTAATTCCCACTTGACATTGGCACCGGAAAACCTATCCCAGCTGTGGTGGCAGGGCGGTTCTCGCTGGCTTTCTCCAGTGACTGCACCTGATTCTTCAAGAACTTCACATAATGAATGGCTTCATCCAGCATGGATGCTGTATCCATCTTGGTACCGCCTGGTACAAGTCTTTGTAGTATCCTAATCCTCTCACTAATCCTTTCTCTTCGATGCCTAGCTGCCACACTCTGCGGATCCTTCGATATCTTCACGTTCCTTCGCTTGGGTGGTTTGACGGATTCTGGATCAATGTGGATCGGTTGCATCGCTGCTATACGAAATATCATTTCCCTCATCGCCGCCATTGAATTCCGCTTCTGCTCAACCGTCGACTGACTTTCTCCATCAACACCACTCCTCCAGCGCGAACTTGACAAAAACTGCATCTCACCACCTGGGGGTTGTGTCGGGGAGGTGAACGAAATGGTTGTCGATGGGTTCATGAACGTTGGTGAACCAAAATGAGAGTCTTCCATCAAATGCGACATATTAGCATTCAGATTGGTGGAGCTGCTACTTCCTTGATCGGTGAACTCAGTTGATGGGGTCTGATCATCAGCATAGATACCACAGAAATCCGGGAGCTTTTCGAGCTGCATCATCATCATCATCTCCGTTTGGTCCTCGGAAATGGACTTCAGAAACTCAATGTCCATTGCTGGATAGTCTTTCCTTTTATAGTAACCCTAATGGAAAAAAGGGAGATATGGGTGGTGTAGTGTTGTTGAAAAGCTAATGGGCAGGGGCAGAGGGATGGGTAAAGTAAAGAGAAGAGGGAGATAGACCGGTAGTTGTAGCAGAATGTTGCAGAGAGATAAAAGAAGAGTATTAGGGTTAGAGATATGAGTTTAGTTTTGTAGTGAGAACAGCCTATCAACTCAACAGGAATACTCTATGAGTATATATAACAAGTGGTTGATTATTATATATATATATATATATATATATATGTTTTATTTGTATCACTATTTATTAAATATAAATCATTCAAATGCTATTCCGATGTCACAAAGTTGGTGATCTTATATTTTTCTTTATTTTCTCGATAACTTTCCAACTTCGTTTTTTTTTGTATTTTAAAATCAAAATTATTGACGATTCCCAAATTATAACGAATTGAAATCCATTAAATTATTCCAAGTTTGATTGTGAAAGAATAGATGATTGATGTTATAATAAATTCAATATAAAATACGTTTGCTCATTGCATGTTCATATATATGCGAACGTGATAATTCTTTATATATATATATATATATATATATGTGTGTGTGTTATATGTATAGTATCCATACTCTTTATCTCAATATATATATATATATATATATATATATATGAGATACAAACGAGACCTCCATATCGCAATCACTTGATGAAACCTGAATTAATGGCAATTTTTGAACAAGTATTTTTAATTTTTGAGTAATTTAAAATGTTTGGATGATAAGGCTAAACATGACTTATTCTATGGAAAAGGAATCCCGAGGTTACTTTGGAAATATGAACTATACAATTTAATAAAGAAGAACAAATATTAAGACTTATAATAGTAATGTTCAAAGCCTACTATTTTAGATTTATTTTGGAAATAAATTAATTCAAATTTTCCTGCAAAATAACTGCATTTTATTCTAATTGTCAAGTAATTATTAATTAAAATAAAATAGTATTTTATTTATTTATTTATTAAGATACCTCTTAGCTATATGAATTGAAAAAAAAAAACTTTATATTATAAAATTAAATATTTTGGTTATATTTTTGTTAGGCAGGAATAAATACTCCAAGTTACATGTCTTGATGGTTTTCTAACATTAATATCTATTTTAATGGGAAAAATATATAAAAAGATTGATGAATTTAGAAAGTAACAAATTCCATGCATATTAATTTGAACTCCGAATATGCAAATATAGTAAACAAATGCAGATGTCAGATGATCAGATGGAGGTTGCCCCACAATTTTCAAGGGCTCAGATCTGCCCCCAGGGCTTTTGATGGTGCATCAACCAATTTTTCCATTCATACACTCAAATTCCGCAATTGTTTCGTTTAACTATATAGAGTGAAAAGTGAAACATCAAAACCATTGGTTGTAACCTGGCCTTTTCATCTCTCAAAGATCAAGATGTCTGGAATTGTTTATAAAAATAATTATTGATTTATTTTGATATAGCATCGGTAATAAATATTTTTTAGTGTTGGAATAAATAACTTATACCGGTGTCAAACTGGTAATAAATTTTTTTTGAAGAAATTAAATCTTTCTGACTTATAATAAATTAATAAATATTTTTATAAAAAAATTTCAAATAAACAATCACAACCACCTCCTAAAAGTTAACATTCAATGGAAAAAGAACCCCCCAAAAACCCTACTCACATGACAGTTTTGGGGGCAAAGTTTTCCATTCGGTCGGCGGTGAGTGATTCCGGTGCCGGAATATTTCATTGATGGTTTTAACACGTGGAGATAAGCCACTTGATCCAAAAGTGGGGTCACGATATATACATAAAATAAAAGATGAAAATTATCCTGAAGGTCTTATTATAATCATGATTGGGAACGCTCTTCAAGGCAGATCAGGTTTGATGCAGCCACAGCAATACCAGTAACATTAGCATTAGCATTAGCATTGGCATTGGCAACAAATAAGCCACTGGTTCATGTGACAATGCCTACAATAACTGCTACTCATACATACTAACTACACTAACTTTAACCAGAAGGGAGGTGTCTTACATTGATTTGAGCTTAGCTTTAAAGATAAAAAATATCAGGAGGTCTCAGGTTTAAATCCAAGGAGAAATAAAAATTCTCTTGTAACCACGGAGGTTCAAATGCAGTGACTCTGGGCTATCTGCAAAACAGGTGGTCGTGCTGGGATTGGTCGACTCGCATAACGGGTTGGATATCCAGGTTAATAAAAAAAAAAAAAACCTACACCGACTTTGTATACTTGTAGGTCTATCCAAATACTTGATTTTATACAAGTGATACAGTGTATAAGTGATAGGATATAAATAGAAATAATTAGTTAAATTGAACATTAATATACCACATATATAATTAAAGAAAAATATTAGTATTTAGCTTAATATAATTATATATATATATATATATATTTATATTTATATGTAGCAATATTAAACTTTATATAGTATATATTACCGTAACGGGTAACATGTGATATTAAACTTTATATAGTATATATCATCGTAACGGGTAACAGGTGATCGATAATGACAAACAGTTTATGCATATTGTATCCAATAAAATGTCGGTAAACGGATGATAGATAAGTGGAGATAATTTTATTTTACTCATATATTTATCTAGCAGGTTGAAATATAACAGATAACGGGTTTATCTTACCTTTTGCCAGTCTAGATGTAATATATATACATATGTATCAATAATATATTTTGTAGATAAACATATGTTTTCTTTATATATATATATATATGTAATTTTTTTTGTTTTGCAAATTAGGCGTTTAAACTTTCGGTTAACTTCCATCTCATGATTGTTCATAAAGCAAAAACTGAATTGAAGGGTTTGAAGGAATTTGCAATTGAATCAGGAAGCAAATGTAATATTATGGTGAAAGCTTAATAATTTGAAAGCATATTATAACAATCTATACGTGTTATGCGTTAACGTTTTGCTGTTGCTTTAGTTGCTATGTATCCATGAAGTTTTTATGCTATCGTACGGTGTTATTGTTAATTAGGTTATAGAATTTTATGCTCAATGTAATCAACTATAACCCATCTAGGCATTATTGAGAAATGAAGTAAATTGAATGAATTAAAATCTATACGTCTCAATTGTCACATTTGTTGGAGGGTAATAGAATTTCCACTGAATCCATTGGCTCGATGTTCTTAGGGTATGCACGGAACACGGGTGTGCTTCAAATCCAATCTCGTGTTTAACCCCGATTCTTTTTCCGGACTTTATAGTCCATCCAATGTGTTTAATTAAGCATGTGGGCCTAATCCTTTATTAATTAATATTGATTTATATATTTAGTGTATTTGTTAACTAAAAGTAAATTACACATTTAGTCCTGCTGGTTTACTAATTCTAGTATTGTGCTTCTTTAGAATGAAATAGATTAAGAAAAAAAAGGTGATATGGTATACATGTTTTAATGCTTTTGAGCACCTCCCTCAAATCCCGTTAAAACATTTTGTTAAGTGTTAAAATCAAGTGGTATTTTCGTCATTTACTTCTTCCCTTGTTTTCTATTTAAATTAGTGTATGTTATATTATTATGTATACACACACATTAAACACACTATTGGCCTCCTCTAGTGACTAAAACCAAAGCACCCTCCCCCATGACAACAACCTTCTACGACCTCCCCCATCATCTGCAGTTTCCATTTACGACAGTGAGCTACAGGTGACGACAGTGACAATCCTCCTTTTCCTTTTTCTACTTTCACAATGTACGAAAAAAAAATCTTCTCCTCATGTTTTTGTCTTCCCTATGGAAGACCAAACCAAAGGAACGGGAGGTGAGAAATTCATATTTAATTAGGATGTTTTAGGTCACATCTTGTATCATATCCAACTACACACGAGAATGGGTTATGAAATCTGGAGTGAGTTTGGATTCAGGCGGTGATTCATCCACCATGGGCTCGAGCAAGATGGGCGCCATCACTTCCTCATGCACACCTATTCCAAACCTTTTTTGGTAGTGACGGCAAACTCTATTGAATGGAAAACTTTGCCCCCAAAACTGTCAACCTGCTAGAATTTGAGTTTTAGAATTTAGGATAGGATGATGGAAGAGGGAGGCTGGGGAAGAAGAAAAGAACACGTGGCATATTTTGATTGGATGTCCTAAATTGTTTTCACTGTTAATAGAAAAGTATGGTGATTGATAGAAATACCAAAACATCGTTGGGTTAACTCACTTAAGAAAAGGCTTTAACATAGTTAGAGACAAGGACCAAGGACGTTAAAACATGTAAACCACATGGACCTTTCCTTTATTATTTGATTTTAGGGATACATAATGTTAAAACTAGTAAAGCATAGGGGCCAAACGTTTAATTCACTCTTTAATAAACTAATAATTTAACCTTTTTAAACTATACATAATTAAATGAATAAATAACCATTAAATTATTCACCAATTCCATATATGAATTAAAGCACTTTTGTCGCGCAATCCATTAGGTTCTTTATCTTGTTGATTATGATTATAAGGGGGTGTTCAGCTCATGAATTTTAAAGGAATTGGAAGTGATAATTTTTATGACCAAATTACGAATTCTATATTTGGTTCATATAATAAAGATGTAAGAATTCTTTGAAGTCCATAGAATTCCACAAACTGAAAATTCATCATTCTTTGGTATAACGGAAGAAATTTCCATCTCTTGCCATCAAATTTTAACCAACATCGCCCATCCACTGCCCCAACTACGACCATCCTACTATTGACACTGTCAGGCCCACACCTTTAATCCCCCCCACCACACCACTACTGTCTTCGTCATAGCCTCCACCCACCCCCACCCTACCCACGCCTAACCTAACCCCCAACCTATCACCGAGTCCATGCCACTATTATCGTCATCATAGCTACCATGCCTAACCCCTCACCTATACCCACAACACCCTACCTACACACCCCCACCTCGTCCCAAACCCCCCACTCCACTATGCGGCCACCATGTCAGTATCGTCATCATCATAGCTACCACCGGGTCACCATCCCACCCATCACCATTCTACTTCTGGCGTCATCATTGTTTCCACCACCCTCCATGCCACCGATCACCATGCCAC